TTGTGCTACACAGCCACTGTAGCAGTATACAGCCAGTGGTCTATCTATAGACACCTTCTTTTGGGGATCAGGGATCCCAAGTCACATCTCAGAACAAAAAGGCAGGGCCAGTCAAGTCCCAAAGCTCTGCCTGAAGTTATTCATTTGTGAGGAGACACTCTAGCCCTTTTCCCCTTCTATCTTCCCCTTGCCAATTATGATGTGGAAACTTTTCTGCTTCTCTCCTCTCCATGAACATGTTATAGTGCCAAAACTCAAGTTAAGAACATGCCTCTGTCAATGTACTCTGTAAATATATTTCCAAATAGTCATGTTGGTCAAAACATATTTCAGTATTTTGATTCAAATGCAGATGATCTCATAGGGGGAATTGCAATGAAATGAAGCCATTTATTAAAGACAGAAGACCCAGGAATCAATTAAACCATAAAACTAAGGAAAACATTTTTATATACATCCATTCAATACATATTTTTTTTTGATTTTTACAGAATCCCTGGTCCCTTGCTAAGACATCACTCAAAACACTGATGATGTTTTCCTGTCTACATTCAACATAACAGAGTCAAATAATGGAAAGTGGTATTTTTTCCAGATTCTATGTGGAAACTCAAATGGGTAAGTAAAAGATAGCCATACATATAGCCTAACTTCTGATATTTCATATTCACCTTGACAAATGCTAAAAGATACACATTGCTGACAATAATAAGAATAGATTTATAAACTGGGACTTAACTACCCTGGCACTGCTTGGAACACACACTGCTTGGACACTTTAAGGGATTTTCTCTGCAGTTTTTTTTGTTTTTTAATTATTTTTTCTGCATTTTTTGGGTTTTCACTGGAATTTTGGGTTTTTTCCTGCAGTTTTTTAGGGTTTTTTTCTGCTTTTTTTTGGGATTTCGCTGGAATTTTGGGGGGTTTTTTTTCTGCAGTTTTTTGGGATTTTTTCTGCATTTTTTGGGTTTTCCCCGAATTTGGGGGTTTTTTTCTGCAGTTTTTGGGTTTTTTTCCCACAGTTTTTTTAGGTTTTTTAAAGGATTACTAAAACTAGTAATGTAGAAAACTACGGTGTTAAAATAGTTATTTACTCTACTTTTGTAAAAGAATTATAAAATTTACCAGAGAAAAATCAATGCAATTCAGTCACTTTTAAAGCCCCAGGAATATTTTTTTCAATTCCCACCCTCACGAATGAGCAAAACCCTGGAGATTAGAATTAAAGTAGCCTAAAGTCTTGACTTTTAAAGTTCAAATGCAGATGCAATATTCACTCTCAGGCATGAAAAATTATTCTTTATCATCTCACATTCAGAAAGGACTGAAAAAATGTCCCACTTTATGTGGTGTCAACAGGGAAGTAGATATTCATTTCATACTTCTACACATAAGAAGAAATCTTATCAGGATTGTCAATTTGTGCATCCATGCCCCCAGAACTCAGCTGCATAAATGTAAAAGACCAGAGTTCATAACTGAGAAAAGCTAGAAAACCTATTCACAGGCTGAGGAAATGAATTCCTGGGAATCACTTTGAAGAGAATGGTCTCTCCCTGAGGGCCAGGGAGTGCTGCCTGCTGAGGAGGAAGGGTTTCTAACCCAGAACACCTGGGTTCCACTTAAATTATCTCAGTAATAAATATCATGAAAAACCATAAATTATACCTGCTTGAGCTGTGTGCCTTAAGCAACTAACATTTGCAGAGCACAATGAAATTCTTGAAATGAAAGAAAGCACATGTGGTGCATGAAATGAATTATGCCATCACCTAATTTCATTCCAGAAGAAAGCTCTGGCTACCTGGAATTGCAGTGTGTGTGCTGCAAAGCACTGGTAACATTTGGGACATTTCCTTTCATGATGAGCATATTTTTACCATAATAAATTTCACAAAAAGAGTATTTTTTCTCTGTATGTTTGAAGTAAGACTAAGTAGACATCTTCCTCTCAAACAGGGAAAAATTCAGATCTGTCTACAGATCATATGTTGGTTATTGCAAGGAAGGTGTTGTGATTTTGCTGAAATTCACCAGTCCTAAAACAGACGAAAAAATTATCTCATGAACAAATACAGCTAAGAAAGATTAATGTTTGTTATGACAGAGGTTTCCTACAATCATAGAATAGTCTGAGTTGGAAGAGACCCAGAAGAATCATCAAAGTCCAACTCCTGGCCCTCCTCAGGACACTCCAAGATTCACACCATGTGCCTGAGAGCATTGTCCAAATGCTTCTTGAACTTTGTCAAGCTTGGTGCTGTGACCACTTCCCTGGGAAGCCTCTTCAAGTGGCCATCCACCTTCTTGGTGAAGAACTTTCTCCCAATATCTAAACTAAACACAGCTTGTACACAGCTTCAGACCATTCCTTAGGTTGCCACAGAGAAGATCTCAGTGTCTGCCCCTCCTCTTCCCCTCACAAGGAAGTTGTAACTGCAGTGAGGTCTCCCCTCAGTCTTCTCCAGGCTGAACAGACCAAGTGACCCCAGCTCCTCCTCAAAGACCTTCACCATCCTCATGGACCTTATTTGGATGGTTTCTAACATTGTTTTCTTACATTGTGTCACCCAAAACTGCCCCTAGCATTGGAGGTGAGCCTGTCCCAGTGCAGAGCAGAGTGGGACAATCCCCTCCTTTGCCTGGCTGGCCCTGCTGTGCCTGATGCCCCCAGGACAAGGATGGCCCTCCTGGCTGCCAGGGCACTGCTGACCCATGTTCAACTTGCCACTGACCAGGACCCCCAGGTCCCTTTTTGTGGCTCTGCTTTGCATCCTCTCATTCCCCAATCTGTACCTACATTCAGGGTTGCCCTGTCTCAGGTGCAGAATCAAGCAATTATATGGTGATTGCCCAGTCTTCTCATTTGTCAAGGTCTCTCTACAGGGCCTCTCTGCCTTGGAGGGAGTCAACAGCTTTTCCCAGTTTAGTGCCATTGACAAAGTTATTTAGTATTTCTTCTAGTCCTGCATCCAAGTTGGTTATGAAGATGTTGAAGATTCACCAGTCTTTGAGATGTTTGAGATTTCCCACACTGAAAGAAGTCTGGAGGCTACAGCTTGTCCCCACATGAACATAGACACCTTGGTGAGATGCGGGTCTCCTCATTTCCCATGACCTCAGGGAAGGGAGCAGACTTCTTCTCAACAAAGTCCATCTCCTGCCCTGCATGTGAGAGCTCTACGTCCTATGGTCAAGCTCCTTCAACTTTAAGAATGGTAACCTGAAAAGAGTATCTGAATTGCTTTATCTTTTCCAATAGAGGCCTCTAATTCTGCATATTCAAGATGAAAAGTTCTAATTCTCACTTGAGAATTAGAATCTGAACACAGCTTTCAACGCATGCCTGGGGGAATTGAAAGGCCCTTGTTCTAGCCCATAAGAAGTCTTTCCAATAGCTACAAGGAGCTCTGGAAAAATGTTGCAGACATACTTTGATTCCCACTGGCCACATAATCTTTTCCAGGAAGATGATGAGTTCTTTTGTCCATGTGTGCTTGAGAGAGCTGAAAGCAGGAAAACTCTGGGGTACTTGTATATCATCAATTAAAATGCCCGTGGTGAGCTGGAAACAGAAGCATCACAACCAGGGTGAGATGAATTAAATATGACATGAAAGATGAGGTTATCTAGGGGATTTGCATGGGTGTGCTATTCCTTTTCATAGCTCATTCCACAGTTTCTCAAGAATCCACCAAAGTGCTAAAAAACCAGCCACCTGGTCGACACTGCTATCTGACTAGGCAGGAAGTGACACTGCTATGGGTCACCTATGAGGGAGCCTAAAGCTGGTTTTGTTCCAGACTGGGAAAAAGCCAAAATGCTTTCAGAAAGCAGAATGAAGTCCCATCTCCTGTCTTCATATTATTTGCCTTTATCTCAGTGCCTCAGGAGTTATCCTGTCAAAAATACATTTGCAAAATATTTTCACCCTCAAACCAGTATCTGGACATGAAATAAAAACTGCCATTAAAATGTTGAAAGCAGCTCTTCAATGTAGGTTTATCTGACTGCAGGAGCAGATTCTCCTTTATAGTTTGCAAGTTTTAAACACTTTTTTTCCACAGATATTTGACTGAAAGTGCAGAAAAGCATTTTATACTATCCACATTTGAACACACTGCAAAAGCACGTGACCCAAGGAAATGCTTTTCAGAACATTTTTGTTCCAAAATTCTGTTTTATTGAAAACCAAACCGAAGCATGTCAGTATTGACCAACCTTGTCTTAAGTCCAGGATGGAATTTTTGCTGGAGAAAAGCTGTAATGCCAGAATAGCCTGATAATTACCACATACACTCCTGCTTCAACCAGAGCAATTAGGAGCCCAGAAATTTAATTAAAAGTTTCAAACAGACTGGTGTTTTCAGCTTTAGTACTACAAAAGGTAATTAAACCCCCAAAACAGAGTTATTTTCCCTGCAGTACGTGAGCTGCTATCTCTAGAGAAGGTCCTGGTTTCCCACCACAATCAATGGCTGGGACAGCAAAGACCCAGCCTGTTCACACTTGCTCGCAAAAGCCTTTTGAAGCAGAAAGCTGCAGCTTGAGACAACAAGACCCTTGCTCTTTCCTTAGCAAACACACACACACACTCCGTTGCTGCTGCTGGAGGCGTGTTTCCTGTCCCAGCACGACCGTGTCATCTCCGTTTATCTCATATGACTTGATCAAGTTAGTCTTTGATAGCTTGTAGGGAAAATGGGGCCTCATTTTCTGTCAGGCTGTTGACAGCAAAACAAGATCTGTTTCCTTTGGGCTTGTGGTATTTTTGTTGGGTTCTTCTTAACTTTCACATATCAATCAAAGAAGCAGCCTCAAACTGCTCCAGCAGTTCAGTGCAATAATTAAACATCTGCTGGTAGAGATGGCCTCATGCTGAGGTTGAAATTGGCCATGTGGGTCTGGGAAGGATCCTCTAGCTTTTTTTTCCTCCCATAAAAATAAACTTTTGGAGGCCTTTATGGTCAAACTTCTGAATTTTGCAAGGATTTTTTTTTTTCATGTTTTTGAAAGCTTATCTGCCATTTCATTTTAGATCAACAAAATTGTTTTGAAAACAGGAGTTCTCACCTGTTGGTTAAATCCTACTAAAATGCTGCGCCCTGGACTTCTGAGGGAGTTCTGGCATCTCGGTGCACAAAGGCACCCTGGGTTTATTATGACACCTCATTCCCATCCAGGTCTGTCACCAGCTGTGAGAGCAAGGTAACTCTATGGCAGATCAACAGGCCTCTCTGCACAGGCTGAGCAGTGGTACTTACCCTGTGCATAGCAGCAGGAATTGCAAGGTGATGACATTCATCCTAAACATTTTTCTCCTGAAACTATATAAAGATACCTCACTCTGTCTGCCATGCTCCAAGAGTACCTGCAGGACCACGACCATGACTCAACAGGCAGTACCTTAGTCCTGTGCATATAAGTTTTTTATGGATTGGCTGTTCATAAGAGACTCATGTGATTTAATTTTCCAAGCATCTGTATTCACTAAAGAGCAAAATTGACAACCTGCTTATTGTTTCTGCTGCCACAGTTACTGGTGCTGGTTTTATTACTACTATTGCAATTATTTTTTATTTATCAAAGTACTGCCATGGTAAAAACTGTCCTGTTCCAGTTATTTATCCTACAGAGGATGTTGTCCAAGTAGATAGTGCAGAAGAGAAGAGCTGAGATAAATGCACAGACGAATTCAGCGGTGTGGGGGCAGTCAGTAACACATGATGGCTGTCAGGTGTCAGGAGGGAAGGCAATGAGTTACCTGCAAGGGGTTGAGCTGAAGGGGAGAGGTGGTGGGAGAGGCAGATTTGTACTGGTAGGCTTTCATTCATACAGTCTCTCTTTCCAAGGTGATGAATGCCAATTTTGATGGGAGAATGTAGAAGTTTCTCTTCCAATCCAAACAAAACTCATTTAACTGAAATTTGTCCAATGATGGTGTCAGAGCAGATAAAACTAAACTCCTTGTATGAAGAAAGAGCATAACTAAAAATAAAACCAGATCATTTCTTATCGTTGTATGACACCCATTCCCCAGCAATCAGGCACTGCTGAAGCACCATGTTAGAGAAATTACTGAGAGTATGGGGAAACACCATCTGCTTGAATTACTTGTTGGTTCTTTAGTTCTGGTTCATTATCACTGATCCTTTGTAAAGAAGTGTTGTTCTATAAATACATCTGTGTAGCAAATCTCACCATTTCCTCATGGCTTGGCTTAACAGCACTCAGCTCTGCACATCACCCCCCACTGCTCTGACACTGTTGGGACAAGCTCAGCGACAATTGCTGAGTGCTGGGCCCTCGGTTAGCAGGCAAATTACTTTTTCGGAGATAGAGAAAGGAATGTGATCTCGTGGGAGGGTTTCTTCAGTACCAAAAAAGAGCAATCCTGTCTTTTGTATCAAGTTCCAAAGAATCAGATAAGGCTCTATCCAAATGCATGTCAGGACAAGCTCAAGACATTTTTACTGCCTTTGTGCCACTTTGTGCAGTGGAGTATTCAACAGCAACCAGGGCTTCATGGCAGGTCACAATGTTGTTATCGAGATATACCCCACAGTAACTAAGAATTAGCTCAGTTTTATAATTATTCTGGATTAGCTCAGAATAGCTGTCTGCAAAACCCACCTGTGAGAGGTGGAGAGCAGCCAGTCATATCTCTGCTCTGCACTGCCTTCCATGACTCTGTGCCTGACTTCTGCAAACCCAAATATGAGCAAGGCTGTCATTTGTTCAGAGGCTTGCCTAGTGACAGGCAGCACACCCACCCAGCATCAGCAGCAGAACATGGGATGGATCCTACCACACACATCAAGAGAAGACTGTATAAGAACTCCCCAGAAGTTCATGGGATTCTTATGATAAAGCTGCTTGCTGCTTGCTGGAGCCCAAGCAGAGGGGAGATGATCGTATAGACAATTAACTTTTCCAGCACTTCAAGTGCCCAGAAACATAAAACTGAAGGATATGAGAGAAAGAGAAATCAACTTACATGTCTGTAATTCCCCTTAAGCAGAGCATTTATTTATTTAGGAGAAAAGCTGCCTTTGCTTAGTTTCCCATATGACAATTCTCTGCTCAGTCTTATCTTGGAGTGACTCATAATATGGGTCAAAAGGTGAAGAGAAACTTTATGGTAACCTCTTCATAACCCTCTTGTAAAGTCTGTTTACTTTGGCTCGCCATTTATATCAGTAATCAGTGGGCAATTTCCCCTCATCTCTCTATTTTCCACCCTTCTTTTTTTTTTTTTTTTTTAATTGAAAACTTGGTAAAGTTAAAGCTCCTTTTGTACCAAAAATGCACCCCACTCCCTTCCTGCCTCGTTTGTCATGTGCATTCCTCCATTTCCCTTCAGGCCACATCCGCAGCTACTGAAGAAAGGCAAAACTCCACTGCCTCCAAAGGTAAGTCCATCGGTGCTCCAGGAGGGCTGCTCTCCTGCCCTGGGGAAGAGCAGTGCACTGACATGGCTGGGTGCAGTCCCTGGGGGCTCCTACCCTGCCTATGCATTGGGTGATTTCTAACATCCTCCAAACACAAAATCACTCCTGCTTGAGATAATGTATTCTGATACCCTGAAATATTCCTCAGCCTGGCTTTGGGCTGGAGGGGTTTGCAGTGAACAGCCGATCCTCAAGAAATGTTCTTGGGAAAGATGACAAGAGCTTCCCAGCAATGGCTTTGCCTCCATTCTCTCTTGAATCAAAAGTGAGGGCTCCTCCCAGCCATTGAGCCATCAAAACCAGTGCTCATCCATTCCACTCTGTACATCCTCTTGCTAGATGGAAATGACCACCAGTCCTTTCAAGTTAGCAGTCATGAATCTGAATCACTGCTGCAGACAGAAGAAAAGCAACTACCCAGCAAGTGTGACATCCCCAGCTCCCAGAGTCACGAGACTGTAGGCAAGCCAACGCTCCTCTGAACACCCATCAGTGTGCATCTGATTCTCAATGTGGGCTTAAAGAACATTAAACCTAATGGAACTGAGCATGTGGATATCATTAAACTTATGCTTCAGTACTTCACTGACAAATTTAAGCAGGCATATAAATATTTTGTTGAACAGAGGCTTGTGAACACCAGCCTAGAAGGACATTTTTGTTTATTTTTCGAGTACTGAGAGTTGTTCTTAGTCATACAGAAGTACAGCAGTGTCTGCTGCAATGGACACATACCAAAGGGAGGGAGAGATGGGCAGGAAAAGCTTCTTTCCTAGATTTTTCATGTATCAGTGGCCAAGCATGTGCAGATGCCTGGGTGATGAGTCTGGAAAATGCAAGCAAAACAAACGTGCTGAGTGAAATGGAAACAGTCCTTGCTTTTACAGTTACATATAGCAGTACCACCTCAGTGTTAGCAGCAGCAAACTTTTCCATTCCCCATCTGCTAGCATTCATTTTCATTCCTGCTGTAGTCTACTACAGAAAATACGGGGTCAGGGAGTCCTTGCTTTTTTCTTAATTAATCTGTTTCTCTTTTCACCCTTAGAGGAAATGTTTCTATTCCTACACTACGGCCATTTTCAATTATTTGTGGTTTTATATCACCAAAGAAATAAAAAAATAAAAGGAAAAAATAGCAGTAGATTTTTTTTGTACAGACCTAATGTCTGAATCACAGTCAGGGAGAGGGAAACTTCCATGCATTGTTCCAAATGGCATTAGTGTTGTGCCTTTCCAGACAGCTTTGGGGTTTTTTTTCTCACAGACATATATAGAAAAAGGAGGATGTCAGTTAAAATTAAACTTCTAACAACCATGTAATCTCTTACAGAGGTCTGGTATCTGAAACCCTTTGCTGCTCTTTTGTAAGATGATCTGAACAAATGCCTAGAGAAGACTTGCAAAAAATTATGCAAAAATATTCAAGCAGGTAAATTAGGGAAATGCTTGGCATTGACAATTGGAATTTGCCATTGACAATTGGAATTAGCAGTAGTGACATGTGGTTGGTTTGGCTATGCAGTGCCCTGCTATAAAAGGTAAACAGCAAAGATAAATGCTTTATATTACAAATCTCCTACAGGCCTCCTGGCTTTCTGTCAGGCAGCAGCTCCCAAATAAGTTATTTTGTTTTTTAAATAAATAAATTGTTTTCTCATGGATAATGGCAGAGAGGCAGGTTAAAAGCTCAGTGCTTTTTTTCAGTCAAGTAGGATTCACAAACTGTGTATATTGTTAAAAACTAAAAAAAAAAGCAGGTTTAAAAAAAAAACAGCCAATGCCTTTATTCCTGATGGCCTGGCTATTTTGAGCTGCATGTGCCTACACTGCAGTCCATAAGGAAAAAGGCATGTGTAAGTGCCCAGCAAGTACAAAAGCACCTATCTCAAAATGTCCCTTTGTGAGACTTATTCCCTCCTGACACGCTGTGTTTCCCTGGTGTGCTGCACATTAGGAGAAAACAGAGGCAGAAATAAGCAGCAATAAAACGTTTTCCAATTAACAGGGATTACATCTCTGGCAGCATACAGCAAAAATGAAGTCTATTTGAACAAGCTGGTGAGCGTGCTGGAGGGACAAGGCTTTTTAATGAGTCAGGATGCTGAGCCATGCTCCTGTTGTGCTGGCCTCTCATCAGTCACAGGAGCACAGTCCTGCCATTTCTGTCCCTGCAGCAGCCCTTACAAGACTGGTACACCTGAAATAGTGAAGTCCCACCACTTGGTTTACAGCAGAGTAGTGGGAAGAATGAATGTCATCAAATTCCAAGTTTGACCCACAAAGCCCTGCCAGGTGATGAGTGCCACAGGATACATCCTCTAGGATCTGCAAAGAGATCACTGGGCATCCCACATTTATGTCTTACCAGTCCAGAGTAGCAGTCAAGAACAGCAGGAGCTAAACTATGTTACATGCCTTGCAACTAAAATGCTTTCACGGCACCATATATGTGGTCATAAGAACGATCATCTGGATGCCTACACATTTCCCAAACCAGCACATGAATTCCAAAATGCTGTGTAAACATACTTTGTACAGCACTCGTGGGTGACAGGAAAATTCTTCTCATAACAACTGGCCTGTGGTTTCCTGAGTAGCAAATGTATGCCAGAGGGAGGCAGAGGAAAAAGATGTGTTAGAAAAGCCTAAGTGCAAACTGAGAGAAGAATCAGGAAGAAATAAAAGAGGCCAAATTAGCCACTTTAGTTGCTCCCCTGACAGGACTACAATTGCAACAGAAGTGAAATTTTACCCAAGAAATTGCACTGACTACAATGTTTAGCAAGTGCAGGAATTTATTTTACAGCTGCAGAATGGTTCCTTGAACAGCTAATCATGACTATATGTTTCTGTAAGCCAGGCTTTGGACCCCCAGCTTTGATCCTGCTCACACCTGTCCCAACACTGAGGTTTCACTTTGAACTGTAAGTTGGGGTGAAATGCCAACTTACAATTGTGATTGCCAACTTACAATTACAATTATAATGCTGGATTTAGTCCAAGACCTCCAAGAACACCAGTGTCAAAAGGGCTGTAACCTCCGCAATCTACTAAACAAGGCATGGCTCTGTTTTTCTGAAGCAAAAGAGGTTTGAGGTTTCTTTTTTTGTTGTTTTTTTAGGGTATTTTTTTATTTTGATAATGTCTTCAGTAAGAATACCAGAGCAAATTTCTTGTAAAACTTACCCCCCAAAAATCTAAAAATCTCTTTGCTTTAACTGCCCTAAGCAAAGCTGTTTTCAGATCATTTAAGTAATTTAGGTTTCTTAAATTTTTTCCAAAATAAGTGAGGGTTTTCATCCTCCTAAAATTGTAGTTTTCTATATAGTGGGGACAATGTTCCCAGTTCTGCAAACATTTGTTATCTGGTGATTTACTATTACATCCAGTCCCAGAAAAGTCCACAAAACTGTTCATAATCTTAAATATTTTCAGCACTCACTTCTCAGATTTTCTGGGAGGTTCCTAAATATGTCTGTGTAGGTCACAACTGGTCTAAGGTAACATGGTCCTTCTAGACACAAAGGTAGTTTTCAAATCTGGTATCATTTTTCAATTTACTGTGTCAGAAGTGCTCCAATGTGAATAAAATAATAGAAAAACTGTGTACCATTGTTGTTGTTGTTTTCTCAGTCAGCAAAACAGAAAAATCAGCGCTGCACTGCATTCATGGAGCTTCTCATGCTTGTGGTATAGAAGCACACTTTCCTGAAACCTCATGTTCTGCACAGTCCTGTCTTCCCTTTTGTAGTTACTCACCTTGCTACTTGGGCACACACAGAAAAAGTGTGGGTGCCCCAAGGTGGGCAAAACCACAGCATCCAGATCCCAGGGATCCCAAGGAATCACTGTGAACAACAGGGTGAACACCAGTGCCCTTTTCCATAAGTCTCCTGAGGCTGCATTTGTGCTCACTGGTTCTGTTCCTGCCTTGCCCACTGCCTCCAGGACAGGGTGACCACTTTACACATGTGGCCAAGGAGCAGACAGGCACCCTTGACCCAAATAAAAGCAGCCATGAGGAGCTGCTTAGTCTGGAGACTCAGCCCTTCTCTTTCTTGTAGTGCCCAGCTCCATGGCCCTCATCCCCAGGACATTATGCCGCTGGGGCAGCCCCACTCCCTACAAAGCATGGAATGATGCTCCAGCCTTCCTTGGGCTCCTGAGGGACCTAAAGGATCCTGAGGATGATAAACCCTGTGCAAACCCCCTGCTTCATGGGGAGCCGGGCACGTGTGCTTGGCATGGTGTACTGCCACCTGCCTCTGGACTGCCCCAGGACTGGTGCATGGCATCCTTTCTGCTGTGCTGCCAGAGGAGACTGGTGTCACCTCCAAGAGGATGAGGACAGGGAATATAAGTCACAGTGCACCTCCCATGCATCATGGTACACTTCCATGTGCAGCAATTTACAAAACCTGCAGAGCAAAAGAGCTTACACAATATGAAACACAAATGGCTAAGAAAATTAACAATTTTCAACTTAATTTTTTATGGTTGTGGTCTCTTCTTTTAAATTGTGGATATACAACTTTGACACCTGGATCACTATGAAGGTAAAAACTTGATAAACAGCTGACAAAATAACAACCAAAACAGAGGGGGAGAGATGGCTAAAGATTTTGTAAAATTAAGACATAGTCCTGGCTTATTTTTCATACTGAGTCCAATTACTAGTAGTTTTACATGCCTGAAAATTAGGAAGTAATTTATTACAGAGATCAGCTTTTGAACCATGTACTTTTTTTTTTAATTACAACTCTAGTAGTGAGCTGAAGGTGATTATCCCAGCTTTGGCTCACACTCACATCCTGGATTTGGATAATGTCATGCCACAATTTTGTAAAATTTACACAGATGCTAGAAATGCAAAACCTCTGGCTTCATCACTTTCCATCCCAGGGAGTGGCCAATGACTAACAGGGGAGCCAATAACTAATCCACCACCCTGGCCTGCTCAGGAAAACCAGGTGTGTTAGGTGAGGAACCATCACATCTCACTGCCCTTCTTTCAGAGGTCTTTTCTCAGCCACATCAAAAATGCTTGGGTGTTGCCCTGAAGGCTGAGCTGCACCACTGCCATTCCCCCACTGAAGGGATAGCCATTCCCCTGAGGGAAGCTGTTTGTACAGCACAAAAGGGTTGGGAAGGCCAGCCAGACATTGGCCAGAGAGGTCAGGCAAGGACAAGGCGATATGGTGTGAGGTTCACAAAAGAGGAGAAAAGCCATTATCTCCATGCTAAAGCTGGTGAGCAGCAAAGCTCCCTCACTGCCATTCCTCCTGCTCCCTACACGGAGAAAGAGGAACAAGAGCTTATGGACACTTATGGTAGTGATGATCCTCAGACAGGATGCTGATTCAGAAGATTGATCCCCAAAATATTAGACTGTAATGGTAAGAATTTGGCATCACTGTAAGATCTTTGGAATGGGAACCTTGTAATAGTGTTGATGTAAAGCCAAACATTGCTGTTAGCAGAAGTGAAGCTTGCTGGATTTTAACCTTCATCATCTTGTCCCATTTGAGCTAAAGTCCCATGCAACCTTAGCAGATGCAGCAGATGCTTTCAGTGGCCACTCAAGCAAGGCTGAGTGCCTCAGAGATGCAACCCTGGTGGGCTGCAGCATGCTTTTTTAATCTGTGATGGGACCAGAAACCAGTATTAGAATGTGGAAGGACATAAAAAAAGGAAAGGATGTTGCCTATACAGAAAACTAAGGGGGCATGTCTTTCCACAGCCTGGCACCTCATCACATATCAAAGTTTAAAGAGGGTACCACCAGATCAGGATGGAATGACTATATGCCTTTCA